GTGGGTAGTGGTGACGAGGGCAATTGTTACAGCAGGCAGTGGCTGCTCTGAGGGGACTGGTGCTGAGGAATGTGTGCTTTAGCTGGGTGGAGGTTGGTTGTGTTGGGTTTTTTATTATTATTATGTTTGGGTGGTTTGGGTTTTTTTTTCTTCTCCCTGATTTGTCCGTTGTCCTTAAGAAAGGTGTAATGGTGCAGGTACAGTAGAAGAATGCCTATTTGTAAGAAAAAGGATTTGGGGGTAGGGTGGGCAGGTGGTTGGGGGTTTTTTTGTTTTTTTTTTTTGGGTGGAGGTTGGTTGTGTTGGGTTTTTTATTATTATTATGTTTGGGTGGTTTGGGTTTTTTTTTCTTCTCCCTGATTTGTCCGTTGTCCTTAAGAAAGGTGTAATGGTGCAGGTACAGTAGAAGAATGCCTATTTGTAAGAAAAAGGATTTGGGGGTAGGGTGGGCAGGTGGTTGGGGGTTTTTTTGTTTTTTTTTTTTTTATTTTTTTGAAACATTTTGTGCACTTTAAAGAACACCTCTTTCAAAAACTTTTGCTCAAGCCAAGAGGCTGTAAGCTAGCAGCAGCATAAGCAAGAATGCTGCTTACTGATTGTGAGAATAGGCAAAGAGCTGAGCCACGCTGCCTTGGGACTTAATCCAGGCATAAGTTAATCAGAGCCCAGCACAGAACATCACATCTCTCCTCACTTCCCCTCCCTGGCCATTTTGTGTCCTTTCAGCTATTCTGAGACTTTGCCCAGCTAATCTCCAGGGTAGAGCTGGGCTAACACCTTATCTTCCTGCACTGCTGGCCTTGTACTTTGCCTCCAGCCCCCACCAGGAAGGTCAAGCTGCTGAGCGGCCACCTGAGCTGCAGGGCCTGCTCTCAGTAACCCAAGCATGAGGTAGCGCAGATGTCCTGGGTTTGCCCCCAAGATCTTGAACAAACAAGCCACAACCGCCAGCAGAGGAACAGTAAGTTTATTAAACAATGTGCAAAGGTGTAGGAAGCAGCCACGCGTGGGTCCTCACAGCAGGAAGCTAGCCCTCACGGAGCAGGACCACAGGGAGCTTGAGAACGGCTACCGTCCCTCTTCCGCAAGCGACCTGGCTTCACTGCTTTCCAAGGCTTTCAGAGTAATGACCCAGTAGCCAACTTTTCCAACAACTTTTATATGGCTGTAGGGGTCCTCAGGTAGGGGCAAGAAGCTTGGAAGTATTAGGAATAAAAAAAATAAATAAATTATTAAAAAAAAAAAATCGGGAAAAAGGGTATAGAGATCACCTTTCTGAAAGAAGGGAGAAAGGGAGCCAATGCCTCCCCCCTGTCAAAGTGGACTGACCGATTCAACACAAAAAGGTTAAAGATGCTCCCTGTATGGTCCAGGGTCCTGAATAGAGAAGATTCTTCTCTGCCCTTCCCCACCCCCCCAGGAATGCGGGGCATTCACATGCAAAGGACACCAATGCCTCGCTCCAGCGGTGCCCAGATCCCCCCCGAGGCACCCAGCACTCCCCTCAGCGCTCCCTGAAGGATGGGGTTACCCAGTTGTTCCCCAGACACCCCACATCTCACCCCAGCTGCCTTTGCATTCAGCCCCAGCGCTCCCCAGCTTTTAGGCTCAGAGAGCGAAGCAGCAAAGGCCAAGGAGGCTGCCCTGTGGTAAGAGCAGTGGGAGCAGCAGCAGCACAGGCTGGGCTGTGGGTTAAGTTTGTAAAGTCAGTAACGCTTACTATTTTGGTTTGCCCCTCTGCTCCTGCCTTCCCCTTGCCTCCAGGATCTCACCCAGGCATCAGGCTGCACTCCCTTTTTCCCCAGGCACCCTAAGTGGGGGCACCCCCGCTGCTATCTCAGCCTCCTGGCCCACATGCTGACACAGCCTACAGGTTTTGGCAAAGAAGTGGGTGACAGTGACCATGGCCATGGTGCAAAAACGGTGCAGCGCTTGCTCAGCAGCGCCCAGGGCCATGGGCTCAGTGAGCCTCCAGGTTCTGGCTGCCTTCAAGGAGAAGCCAAGGGAATACAGACACAGAGAACCACACAAATCTGGCAGTCTTGAAACTCACCTGAGCAGCCTTACCCCCTCCTTCACAGGGTCTTCTCCCTCCCTCCTTTTCAACTCGAAGCGATCTCTGTACTGCTGACACACTGCCAAGCTGCTCCAGCGGGAAGAGCGAGCGACAGTCAAGGATTTTGATGGATAGAGCACAGCAAGGTGCCGAGCAGTCCTGCAGGGGTAGCGCAGCTGGGGCCAGAAAGCAGCTCAGCTTTGAAGAGCTTAGCGCAGTCAGCACGTTCAGAGACTGGAATCCACCCCCATTTCTACCCCTGCTGGGAATTCAGCCAGTGGCCTTAATTCCCAAGCCTTACTTGCCAAAGAGCATCTTCCCCGCACTCACCACTTCTTTTCAAACCTTTTCCAAAGCAGTAAGGAAAAAGAGCACCTTTTCTGCTTAACCCAGCTGACCCTGGCAGTCTGCTCTGCAAGACGCCAGATATGCTATTAAACCTCCTGGTGGCTTTGCTTTAGGCTACCACTCAGCAAAAAGCATTACTTTCACAGCTGCAAGGGTAAAGAAACAGAAACCTAGAAGTGGACCTAACAAGGTTAGGTCCTAAACCAGGAACACTCTGGCAAAATAGTGGGAAAACTGCATGGAGTACAGGTGGTAAGTCCAGTATGAAAGCCATTTCCTCCAGTGATGACAGGGAGACTTTTTTTTAACAGACCAGACAACTAAGTTTAACACTGCATAAAAACCTTTTTTTTTTTTTTTTAAACACACTTTTCCATAGCACCCCAACATTTCTCCTCTCTCCTTTCAAAGCAGGTGCCTTTGGTCAAAGTTCTCAGTAATCATCACCTAGAGGTAGCCGGGGGTCAAATTCAGGCAAGAGGTTTTTGGGTTTTGTTCTAGTTGGTTGGTTGCTTGGTTTTTGGTGGTCTGTTTTGTTTTGTTTTTTTCTTCCCTCATTCTAACACAAGAGAAGGCTTTGGCTTGGCAGTACAGAAACACACGCACACAGATTTGCCATGAAAAAAACTCCTCACATTTATTTGATTAAACAAAAATAAAATAAACTGCATAGGAACATTTTAAAGTCCAGAGAGACACTGACTTTGTTTTAAGGCTGCCAGTAGCTGATACATCGTCTCCTTGCTACATCCTTCAGCCTTCCCTATGGACCACAAAGATACATTCAGAAGCCTCCATTAACACAAGGGTTCTAACATTTTGCTCACTTATTCTACGTAAAAGTTTGCACATAACCTGTCATGCTTTCTTCTCTGTGGTACTCAACATTCGACATCTAAAAAATGTCACTTTTTGTCCAAGTAGAAATGTGATGCCCTTTTTGGAGCACGGAAGTTCTTGTCACAGCCTGTTTCGTTATCAATTAGATATAAAAGCTCTGAGCAGCTCATTAAAAGCAGAGCACTGTCTGTCCTGCTGCGACATTTTTATTATTATTAGGAGAGCAGCACAATTAATCACTAAATTAGAAGAGAAACAGCTGCAAAAGAAGGGGAAACTACAAAACCAAACAGCTCAAGATGCCCAACATCCAAGGACTGACAAAATAATTCTGGATCCCGATGCAAACCTGCACCAAGGCAACGCTGCTTATAGCCGGGTAGTGAAGCTTTGCAAGATGGGGCCACGCGTCTACAGCCAATTAAATGAGGGGAGAAAAATGCGTGTTTGTGACATCAGTTTCACGTGGATGACCTCCATTTTGCTCAAGGCTTCCAATTTCTACTTGACTTAACTTGCAGGCATGTGCTCAACGCCCTCGCTACTCCAACGAATTGTGCACGAACCAAGGGGCGCATGACAGGTAATGCACAGTACAAACAAGAGCCACGTACAGCAAGGAACCCCCACCAACGCAGGTGACTAAGCACACCTTACAAACTAGTTAAAAACCTTTTAGTTGTTTTAGGAAAGAAACTAAAAACAAA